TGGTAATTAATATTGCTATTTAAATATGACAGGCTCGTAACTCCTAAGACATGGGAAATACAGCTGCAAATGGACTTTGCTTTTTCATTTGAAATTTGGCAGTCACTGTGCGTTCCCGAAAGCGAAAATGCAAACGCTAATGCAGGATTTGCAATTGCATTTGGATTATGTCACAATTTATGCGTCCACATATTGAAAACGGAATTGAAAATACAATTTGCTATTCTATTTGAAAATTGTCCGGAATATCGTTCCATAGAAGACAACACTTCCCCTCCAAAGACGAGTTTTTACGGCTTTTCGTGTTTTTACTGTTATACACTAGGGGGCGCTATTACACATCTTCTGAATGAGTACAAAAACACACGTGAACAGGACGGAGAAACGAGCGATCTCTTATGTAAACAGATGTATACTGTTCACAATTACATCTTTAAAATGAGGCAGAAGTAAAAAAATTAAAATGAACCAGGTGTTACAGTATATAAAATCAAGTCACCTTTATTTATATAACGCTTTATACAATACTGATTTTGTCAAAGCAGCTTTACAGAGTCAAAAAGGAAAATAGTTTGTCAATGCAAGAGAACATTAACAAGTAATTTTTCCAGTTAAAGGGGTCCTATTATGCTTTTTCACTTTTTCAACTTTAGTTAGTCTGTAATGTTGCTGTTTGAGCATAAAAAAGATCTGCAAAGTTACAAAACTCAAAGTCCACTTTAAAAGGAGATATTTTATTTAACAGAAATCACTTTTCATAAACTACAACGAGCGACTCATTTGGACTACAACGCATAATTTCTGGGATTTGTGACGTCACACATATCGACGAATGGGACGAGACCTGGTTGAGCTGCATTAGAGAAGGCAACGAGTGTTATCACTATGTCGGAGACACGCTAGCTTGGCCCAGCTAACCAATCACAGCACACACTGGCCCAGCTAACCAATCACAGCACACACTGGCCCAGCTAACCAATCACAGCACACACTGGCCCAGCTAACCAATCACAGCACACACTGGCCCAGCTAACCAATCACAGCACATTTCGTATTTCACAAGGCGGGCCTTCATTTGATACAGGAACTATTCGAGCCGTTCATGCCAGACTGAGGAGAGAGGTGTTGTAAGT